CGTTCAGATTTGGTATGGAGCTAAATTTATACCTGAAGCTCTTTCAAGGATCGAGTTGGATGGCATCTGACCGAATCTTCTTCTCTACATCAAGATCACTCAGTGACCTTGGCACACACTACAGGTTGCCAAATCTCATGGTAAATGGATTAAAGAAAAGTCCCTGCAGAACAACCCACCCCAGCAAGAACTCACATTGAAATGGTTGAAAATGTTGGCATGTGGCAAAGATGTGCTGCATATGTAGGAAACCACATCTGGAGAGTCACTTGGGCAAAGTGAGAGTACCTCTCATTTTTGTGCAGAGAACACTGTCCAAGTGTCTGAATCTACCCTCTAGATCGGCATTTCTCAACCAGGGGCCATATGGCCCCCCAGGATATTCCTAGAGGGCCACAGGGGAAATTTTATAATTTATATACAGTGGTACCTTGGTTGTCGATGGCTTGGCTCTCGAACTAAATTGGTTGCCAAACACCACAAACCCAGAAGTAAGTGTTCCAGTTTGTGAACGTTTTTCGGAAGCCAAACATCCAACGTGGTTTTCATGGCTCCCAAGCGAGTGCAGGAAGCTCCTGCAGCCAATCGGAAGCCGCGCCTTGGTTTTCGAATGGTTTCGGGAATCGAATGGACTCCCAGAATGAATTAAGTTCGACAACCAAAATACCACTGTAATTATAAAAATTATAAATAAAACATGTTCTATTTACAAACAGAATAACTACCTTTTTAGTGGTAGGACGGGGGGGGGGGGGGCGGCACAGGAAGGAAACAAGGTTGGAAGGGGACCATGGTCAGAATAAGCTTGAGAAACACTGCACTAGATCAAGGATGGGGAACATTACTCAGGGGCACATTCTTCTCTGGAAAACATTTTGCAGGCCTTGTGCTTATGGTGGGCAGAACCAGATGCAAAAGCACATGGAATAATGGACCTAACTCTTTGTACAGGAGGCAACATTCTACCTTTGAAACGGCATCTCCCATGCTGGGAAAGTTAATGAAGTGTTTCACTCTGCAGGCACACTTGGTTAATAAACAGGCGACCTGGGTGACTGGGAGTGGCCGGCGAGACCACATAACACCGGTCTTGAAAGCCCTACATTGGCTCCCAGTACGTTTCCGAGCACAATTCAAAGTGTTGGTGCTGACCTTTAAAGCCCTAAACGGCCTCGGCCCAGTATACCTGAAGAAGCGTCTCCACCCCCATCGTTCAGCCCGGACACAGAGGTCCAGCTCCAAGGATCTTCTGACAGTTCCCTCCCTGCGAGAAGTGAGGTTACAGGGAACCAGGCAGAGGGCCTTCTCGGTAATGGCGCCCACCCTGTGCAACGCCCTCCCATCAGTTACGTGAAAGAGCACTGTAAACAATTAAAAACACTGGCAAGATTTTTTTTAAAAAAAACGCTTGCAATGAAGCGAGAACTATGATAAAAACTGAGTTTTAAGAACATATGGAGAATATGATACGATGCAGTTTGAAAAGAATATCTAGGGAAAACATGGAAGGAAGTTCTGGGATTCTGAGAATCCTATTTGTAAAGTGATTACGATTTATGTATGATGATATTTGTTAAAAGTGAAAATGAATTTTAAAAGTTATTATAAAAAGAGAGTCTCATGTTCTACCAATTGAACCATTTAAGCCCGCATGCAGTGTGTATCCCTCTATGCTTGGAAAGTGGATGGGTGACCACAACATGGAGAAGGGACGGAGACCACAGTCTTTTCTCCTCCCTTCCAGTTCTATCTTTCAAAGAGCCCCAGGCCCAGATCAGATTAAGAGCTGCAGCAATTCAAGGTGTCAAAGAGGAAAAGAGGTTTTTGTCACAGTTCCCCATAAGAATTTACTACAGTGGAACGAGCTGCTTAACCAAACAGCACAGTAATAAACAGCCTCATCTTCGCTCTCGAGGTTGGCAATGCTTAAGTGGCCAGCGGTTCCAGAGCGGGAAGCAGTGAACCGATTTGGGATCCCTGGTCCCCTGCTGCTGCATCCATCACAGTGCAAATAGCGAGGGACTTGTCCGGGTTTCTGTTGATACCAGTACATGGTTGTACCCCCACTGGCTGTGCAGGAAAGTTTAGCTGTTTGACCGGGAGACACAGACTCAGAGGCAGGTTGAGTCACAGAAGGTTGTGAAATGACTCCTTTGGGGGAAAAGGGGAGAAATGAACTTGTTTTAGTTTTTTTTTTAGTTTTTTTTATACTTTTCAAATGTATACATTTAATTAATTCTACAATCATTTTAACATTTCAAAGTTTGACTTCCTTCCCCCTCTTTCTACAGTTCCTTAAATTTATTTTTTAATATCATCTGCATATCCAAATTTATTTAATTATCTATATAAAGATATACTCTTATGAAATTGCAGGTTGTTACAATAATCCTGCCAATGTTTTTATCTGTTTATAATTTATCTGTAAATATTCAATAAACCATTTCCATTCTTTTATGTTAAAAAATGTGCCATATTGATTTCTTATTCTTCCGGTAAGTTTTGCCATTTCTGCATATTCCGTAAGTTTTTGTATCTTTCCATTTTGGGGCGAGTAGCATTCCTGCTGCTGTATCTGCATACATAAATAAATTTCTATAGATTTTATGTAGTTCTTTCCCTATAATTCCCAAAAGAAAAGCTTCTGGGTTGTTTTTTTTTACAAACGTAAAAAATTTGGGAATGAACTTGGTTAACTTATTATGTTCACAAATATCAGAGAGGCACAATAATAAAATTCATGGTATAAATAGTTTCTCTGGTTTCTAATGGGAAGGGACTTCTCCAAATTCTTACCTGAGAAGTAGCTGAGAAGTGCAAGGAAGGACAGAGCCCAGACCATGGTGAGGACTTTGGAAGGGTTTGACTTTCTAAAAGAAACAGAGAAGTGTCAGAAACCTTCCTGCTTCTTCCTTAAATCTCCCAAGAGCTAAAGATGAAGGGTTGGTCATGTAAATTTGGATGCCCACTGACTTGGCTGCTAATGTGACTCCTCTAAAGAGGTGGGATGTTGTAGCTCAGCCAATGATCAGAGAAGATATTTGCATGAGAGAGATTATTTAAAAAGAAGAGATGAGGTGATCTTGATGTGGAGAAGGAGCTTGAACCAGGCTGACTCTCCCCCCAACCCCAAGAAAATTAAGCTGGTTTTGCCAAGGCCGTTGCAATGAGCTCAACACATCAAGCAAATGAGCAAATGGAGTGACAGATGAAAGAATCAAAGTGAATGAAACTACTCTAAAACATAAAAAATATAAAGGAAATGAGTATAACTGAACAGGAAACAGCACTGAAGATTCACCTGTTTCATTTCACATCACAGGGGTGGGGGGCTCAGGTGGTCTCTCAGATCCTCGAATGCAGTGGTTTTCAACCAGTGCGCAGTGGCACTCTGGGGTGCCTTGAATGATGGTCAGGTTGCTGCGGGCAACACTGGCCTCTGTCCCTCTTTCCTTCCCTCCCTCCTCTGATGCCCTATGGCATCAAATTGAGCCCTGCTGGCTAGCCCTGAGTTTCATAGTTGCTGGACCTGAGTTGCCCTGCCCTTGCATGAAGTCTTGGGTTTGCAATTTTGGGAGAAAGGAGACTGCGGCACTGGGGAGCAGGCAGACTGGGGAGGCGCCCTAGATTTAGAGACCCAAGTTGCCCTGCCCTCACATGGGCTTTGGGTTTGCAATTTTGGGAGAGGGGAGACAGCCCGCTGGGGAGCGGGCTGGCTGGCAAGGTGTTTGGTAATGAGTTGTAATTCAGCAACTTCTCTTTCAAGTGTATTTCTAAAATTCTTCTGCAATAAGGCAGCTACTTTAAGATCTTGTATAGAATGCAATTAGAAGCTAATTTTGGTCATCTATCCCTTTAAGAATCCCTTGCCCTTCTTTGTGGAACCAACTGGCCATAACAGTCTTCAACAGTTATAAGGCTGAAGTATCTGACAAAGTGTGTATTACACACAAAAGCTCATACCTTGAAAACTTATATTGACGTGCCACTGGACTTAACGTGCCACTGGAATTTTTAAAAAGGATTTTTTCAGCTTGTTATTTATTATGACTATGACAGATCAACATGGCCTTCCACCTGAATCTGGTGTGATTTGTAGTTGACCTCTCCCACGCACACTGTCATAGGCGACTTATTCCGCTTTTCAACTTCGGCTATTGATCTCAAAATGTTCTGTTTCTCACAGCTGATTACTCTGTTCGTCTTTATTGGAATCGGAGGGACCGGCCTGTGCACCATGCGCCTTGCTCTTTGCAACCCTGATGTCAGGTAAGTGCCACCCCTCAGGGCAGGATCAGCCCTTGGCATGGTGCTGACAACTGCCATCCCCGCAAAACTATGTCACGTGCTCCCCACCTCCCAGTGGCCCCTGGGTGTCCTTCACTTATGGATGTGAGGCAGCGCTTTTGAATGGGACCTCAGCTGGACTCCCATCTGTGGCAGCTGCCCACTACTTTACGCAACTCAGAATTAATCACAGGGATCCGTGGCCTGAGAGGATGGGAGTGAGCTTGGCTTCTTTTCAGAAGTGACACTGCTACTGAAGAGCGTCTGGGGACCCAGTGGCAGGGACTGGTGGCCTGGCTGGGCCAGGCTGATAAGCACCCTTCCAAGCTCCTTGGGGGCAGAGCTTTTGCCACTTCTTTAAGTGTTGCATCTTAAAGCGCAACCTGAATAAAATATGACCTGCTGTGCTCCAGAGGTAGTATAATAATAATAATAATAATAATAGTTATAAAACAAATTATAAAACTACAGTAAAACATGAGCATCAGCTTCATAGCTTTAGAGTAAGAAAACCAACCATATAAGCATTGCCATTACTCAGCCGAGTTGTATCCAAGGCATTGCAATGAGCGGTACAGCATAGCTAAAATGGTATTTGGGAAGAGAGTAAAGCCAATGAACTGTCTGAGCAGAAAGCACAAAGTCTTTCAGGAACCTGTCATGGAGAAAGTGTAGGATTGGGTTGCCAGCATCAAGTTCTGTCCAGCACTGCATCACAAACTTGCCGCTGTCTCTGGTGCAAGGCAGTGAGAAGCTGCCCTTGCATTTATGTAACTGTGTGTGAACTGGCTTTAAAGGGCTTTTACAAATACTTGTGGTACGGTGGCCTTTTTTACATCCCACATTATAAAAGAAGTGTGCTCTTCTGGTGGCACTGAGGAGGCCATGATTGTTAAATTGGGTGGGAACCATGTGCCAACAGTTGGGCAGAGCGTTACGCTTTATGCTATATGTTTTTCTTCTTCTTCCAAAGATGTACTCCTTGCTGTCTGCCTCTTGTCACGTTTCTCTGCCTGGCTGGGACAAAAAGAGCAACCCAGAGCCTTGGAACAAGCTGTGACCCAACGACCAGTACAAGGTATGGTAGGAAATACTTAACTAGGGTTATGATGCTGGTTATCTTATAGGCCAGGGATGGGGAGCCTGGTGTCCAGCAGAGGTTGTTGGGACTCCAATTCCCATCAGCCCCATCCCTGAAATCTACGGAAGATGGGCTAATAATAATAATAATAATAATAGCCATTTGGTGGGAGGAATAATAAGCTTCAGCTTTGGAAGGCCTGGTGTGTGTGATCACAGCATTTGGGTTGGACTAGATGACCCTTGGGTTCCTTCTATGATTCTTCATTCTCCTCTTCAGTTCAGTCTTCTAAACTCTGACTGAATAAGCAGGTTAGATCCCTGAGTTTCTGCCATTGACTTGTGGTTCTTCCTACAAAATTGCTTTTAAGCCCATTAAAGTTGAATGATTAGAGATCCATTCCTGCCACTTCCGAGTCACCTTCAATGGTAGCCCCACGTAGAGCGCATGGTAGTAGTCCATGCTGGAGATAAGGCTTAACTGTGCTGCCCTCTTTCAGTTCTATGTGGTGAATGCAGACTATGACAAGCTGAAAAAAGGAGCGCCCAGATATCGGAAGAGCAAATGAATCTGGGAGCTATAGTTTGGGTCTTTGGGTTTGATGCTTTTGTAACTGGATCTGTAATGGCTTTTAGTCAAATACAATAAATGATTGACTGATTGGTGAAAAAGTGCTTTTTTACTGAGATGCTAACTTTCTCTCTGCATGCTATTCCTTGAACAGCAAAGATAAGGCTTGCTTTCATTGCTCTGTTCATTTGTGCATTTGACAAGTGTTATTGTGGAGGGAAATGCAGCCCCTGGGCTGAAAAATGTCCCCCTCCTGCCCCCTTGGGTGTCCGGTGTGGCCTTCACAGATATGGACACAACTAGGGGGAGGGTGTATTGGCTGCTGAGCTGCACTCCCCCCCCCCCATTGTGAGGGCTGAGGGTGTGATGGTGATGCCTCCCCAGCTGCTGCCATTGTCTGTGGGTTGACTGTGATGCCACAAAAACATTTGGCAGCTGAGCGGGTATAAATGTGGGCCAAGGTGCAAGCCTCGGCAGTTGCCCTCCCCAGAGAGAAATGGGCAGCTCGGTGGCACTCAGCCCTGGTGGTCTCCTGCCCCGTGGCAGCAAGCTGGCAAGCGGAAGGAGGCAATCGCCCAGTGCTGGGATGCTGTGGAGCAAGGAGAAGGCAAGTTTACTTGCTGGTGGGATAGCTACCTGAAGGCGACGGATATTCAGCTCTGAAGCTGGTTGATGTCTGGCAATGGACCTGGCGAGGCTGCAGCTGGTGGGTGGTTGTTGGAAGAGTTTGCGTTCAGGCTAGTGGATGCCGTGAGGCTACGCTGGCTGAGATGGATGCAAAGTGGCTTGGAAGCCTTGTTTGTTAACAGGCAGCCAAACAGAGGAGGAGTCTGGTGGGACGCTGTTGGATGGGGGCCATCCCACTCACCTGTTTGCCTTTGCCTTACAGGGATGTCCGGAGCCGGTGAGGTTTTCCCCAAGTCCAAAGTCATGAAGAGAACCGCAGGACGTCCCTATTTACATCGGAGAAATGAATGCGAAATACTGGCAGTGAGCAATGGACAAGGCCGTGGCCGTACCTGAGAGAAGGAGCTTTGAAGGGAGACTACAGGCGGACATCTGCTGCATTGCAAGTGATGGGGCAGTGGGGGGAGAGAAGAAAATGAGGGAGGAAACATTAGGTCACATTAGGCGCACGGTCCATTGGAAGTGCTATGAAGACGCTTTGAACAGGAATGGCTTCCCCTCAGGGATTCTGGGAACTGTAGGTGGTTAAGGGGACAGAGTTGTGAGGCGGGTTAGGGTTAGGGTAGGGGTAGGGGTAAGGTTAGGGGTAGGGGTAGGGTTGAGTTGGGGTAGGGTTAGGGTTCCCTTCTTGTCAGGGAACTCTGGGAATTGTAGCTCTAGTTAAGTGTTAAGGGTTAGCGCTAGCGTTAGAGTTAGTGTCAGGGGTCGGGGTAGGGTTCCCTTCTTGTTAGGGAACTCTGGGAATTGTAGCTCTGGTTAGGAAGTAGGGTTGGGGTTCCCTTCTTGCCAGGGAACTCTGGGAATTGTAGCTCTAGTTAAAGGTTAAGGGTTAGCGTTAGGGTTAGAGTTAGAGTTAGAGTTAGAGTTAGGGTTAGCGTCAGGGGTAGGGGTAGGGGTAGAGTTCCCTTTTTGCCAGGGAACTCTGGGAATTGTAGCTCTTGGAGGGGAACAGGGGGTCTCCTAACAACTCTCTGCACCCTTTTCAAACTATAGCTCCCCGATTCTTTGGGGGAAGAATCCATGAGTGTTTAAAGTGGCTTCATAGCACATGAAATGGTGTGGATGTGGCCCTGGCCTCCCTCACCCCACTGACCCTTATTATTGAGGAATCGAAAAGATTTCCCCATGCAAATCTCTTGGAAACAATGTATTTCATCTGGAAAACTATTTACTAAAGATTACTTTTTATTAAAACCTTTGAATGTGTTTGAACTGTGTTTGAGTGCGCAGAGAATGATTTCACTTGAAAGCAGTGCCCTTAGATTACAGAATCATGGAAGAGTTAGAGGGGACCACGAGGGTCTTCAAGCCCAGCCCCTGCAGGAATCTTTTGCTCTACGTGGGGCTCAAAGGACGGCCCTGAGATTAAGGGTCTCGTGCTCGACTCAATGAGCTATACGGATTGATCTAAATAGCAAACACCAATTATTTATTTTTTACAATTTACAGTGGTGTAAAATAAAGGGTGTAGGAAATGAAATGATTGTTGCCTTTTCATTGTTTAAGGAAGTTTTGTTAAGACTTTTGATTCAACACACTTATTTCAATATACAGTTGTATCTTGGTTTTCAAACTTAATCTGTTCCGGAAGTCCGTTCTTAAACCAAAGTGTTCTTAAACCAAGATGTGCTTTCCCATAGCAGCAGGGGACTCAATTTTCAAATGGAACACACTCAACAGGAAGCGAAACCCCTGCAACCCTAGATTTAGAGGCCCTAGGCTTCAGCCTACTTAGCCTATTCATAAATCTAGCACTGGAAAATTCTGACAGCTGGATAGGGAGGTCATTTAAGTCTACTATGTGACCACGCCCAGCCTGCGGTTCCCCACCCATGCTTACAATGTTAGTTTTCTTGGACGTAATATCTTCCGGGGTTCTTTCTGCCAGTGACGCAGCTCAGAAGCATCTTTGGCAAATGAGTGAAGTAGGGGAATTTACTCTCTGGAAAGCAACTGGGTGAAGGCTAAGGGCTGAAACACCTGAAAAGCACCAAAGACTGGATATTGACACACTCCACTGCTCACAGAAAAAAATCTATCTGCCTTGCTATCACTGGATCCTGCCTCCATCCAGTCTCCTCTGACTGATCATGGACTTAGGGGACTCATAGTCCCTTGGGGAGTTGAGCAGCAAAAAGTCAACCCCCAGTTTCTCTACAATATCTTGTACCTGGTTCTCTTGTTCAAAGAGCTTGACATGTTCAGATAAAACACTCTGTAGCAGTTCTCAGCTCACTGCACTGAAAGAAGAAGAGAGGTTTTTGTCTCAGTTCTCCATCAGATTTGATCACTGTGGAACCCAGCAGTGCTGCCAAACCAACCCGCACAATAATAGTCAGCCTCATCTTCAGGTTGGCTGTTAGTGATGGTTAAGTAACCACTATTCCCAGAGACAGAAGCAGTGAACCGATCTGGGATCCCTTCTCCCCGGTCGTAGCCATTATGATGCACATAGCGAGGGGGCTGTCCAGGTCTCTGTTGATACCAGCCAATACTGCTCAGACTTCTGGTGTGAGTGCAGGAGAATTTTGCCGTTTGTCCAGGAGATGCAGACTGAGAAGCAGGTTGAATCAAAGTAACCTGTGAAATCACAACTTTATAAAAAGAAAAAGGAATGCATTGTAAAACCTAGATTCAACCATTGTTTTCAAAGATATCTGCCAGACACTATGATATGTGCACAATATAAATAGTTTTGTGGTTGGCCCAGAATCCAATGGAAAATTGAGTCTTCTAAACTCTTACCTGAGAAACAGCTAAGAATTGCAATGAAGGACAGAGCCCAGGCCATGGCGAGCTCTCGAGAGAAGTTTGACTTTGAAAAGCAAAATGGTAACTAGCTGGAACCTTTTTTGCTTCTTCCTTAAACCCTGCAAGGAACTTCAGATGAAGGATCTGTCATATAAAGCTATTGACACCCATTGGCTCTGGAGAAATCCCACTCCTCTCAGCCAATGAACAGAGAAGAGGTTTGCATGAGAGAGATTATTTAAAAAGAAGAGATGAGGTGATCTTGATGTGGAGGAGGAGCTGGAACCAGGCTGACTACACACACACACACACACACACACACACACACACACACACCATCACAAGAAAATTAAGCTGGTTTTGCCAAGGCTATTGCAATGAGCTCAACATATCAAGCAAATGAGCAAATGGAGTGGCAGATGAATGAATCAAAGTGAATGAAATTACTCTAAAACATCAAATTATAAAGGAAATGAGTATAACTGAACAGGAAACAGAAGTGAAGATTTGCCTGTTTCATTTCACATCGCAGGGGTGGGGGGCTGAGGTGGTCTCTCGGATCCTCAAATGCAGTGGTTTTCAAGCAGTGCGCAGTGGCACCCTGGGATGCCTTGAATGATGGTCAGGGTGCCACGGGCAACACTGGCCTCTGCCCCTCTTTCCTTCCCTCTCTACTCTGATGCCCTCTCACATCTCTGCCTCCCAAAGGCTTGCACAGCTGTTTGTTGCAACAGCCCTGGGTACAAGCTCCCCAGGTGAATGGTGCCTCTGGGGCTGGCCAGGGGGTGATTCCCAAGTCCCTGTGGGACAGTGTGAGGAGGCACCTCTCTTTGTGGCATGGAAGGGGGTGGAAGCTCAGAGACCAGGGGTAGAAGCGGCTGTTGCCCAGAGGATTCCCAATGAGAGGGGCGAGGAGAGGAGGCTGAGGGAACACTTCAAAAAGGAAGGTCTTTCAAAAGAGGTGAAGGGCAGCCAGCTCAGCCATCAAGAGATGACATAGATGGGCTCCTGAGTCTCCCAGGGGTGCCACAGGAAGAATGTAGATGGTCAAGGGAGTTGTGGACTCAAAAAGATTGAAAACCTCTGCTTTAGGACATAGGGCAGATATGCTGGTCCCATGGGTAGATTGAGAAATGAGGTCCTAGTCCAGTCCGAGGTCGAAGGAGCAATATGAAGGCAATCCGTAAAAGCTGAGGCAGGGTGCAGGGCAGGGTTCAGGCAGGAACTGGCGACCAACAATGTTGCTTCGCAACTTGGGACTGGGGCTGGCTGGCTTTTATCTGCCCCGAAGCATAGGGCAGCCCCGGTCCACAGGTGACTCGCCCCTCCTGGCCTGGAGGAGAGCACTCCACCTGCAGGATCTTAGTTCCCTCCACCTCTCTGCCCTGAGCCTCTGCAGCTCAGGAGAGGCTGGAGGGTTACCGGACCCGGAGGCAACCTCAGCTTCCCCTGATGGAGCTGAGAGTGGAGCACCTGCAGGCAATGGGTCCTCCATCACTTCAGGAGCCAGAGCAGACTCAGCTGGTGCCTGCACCTGAGGATTCAGCACAGGTGAGGACCCTTCAGGCTCATGCCCCAGCCCCGGCTCAGCTGGTTCTGGAGGCGGGGAATCCTGTGCAAGCTGGGATCCCTCAGGTTCAGCATCCGACTCCGAATCCCAGGCCTTCACAGCAGGTTTGGTGAGAGGTGTAGCCTAGGGAGAATTCTGATGGCTGGATAGGGAGGTCATTTAAGTTTATTATGTGACCACCAAAGCCTGCAGTTCCCCACCCATGCTTAAAATGTTAGTTGCTTTGGACACAATATCTCCTGGGGTTCTTTCTGCCAGTGGCGCAGCTCAGAAGCATCTTTGGCAAATGAGTGAAGTAGGGGAATTTACTCTCTGGAAAGCACCTGGATCAAGGCTAAGTGCTGAAGTACCTGAAAAGCACCAAAATCCTGGACAGGGACACACTCCACTCCTCCCAAAGAAAATGACGCTCCTTTCGTAATCGTTACTGCGGTGGGCTGAACAGAAAAGCCATCAAAGAAACGGGCAAATGCATTTTGAACAAACAGAAACCAAAGGGGACGAAACTTCCAAACATATTCTAACCTAAGAACAAACGATGGAATGAAATGTATCTACATCTCAATTTCATCCCAATGCTGAGCATGGCTGATCAGGAAGCACTGTGAATGGACCCATGCGCCGTGAAGATTCTCCTGCTTCAATTCACACCACAGGTGCCAGGGGGCCTGGAGGTCTCTCACATCTCCTATTCTGACCAGGGTTAGAAAAGTGGACCGATATCTTCCCCTAAAGGTTAAATGTGAAATAGCAGTCATCCTATACCTATAGGGGATGCGGGTGGCGCTGTGGGTAAAACCTCAGCGCCTAGGACTTGCCGATCACATGGTTGGTGGTTCGAATCCCCGCGGTGGGGTGCGCTCGGTCCCAGCGCCTGCCAACCTAGCAGTTCGAAAGCACCCCCAGGTGCAAGTAGATAAATAGGGACCGCTTACTAGCGGGAAGGTAAACGGCGTTCCGTGTGTGCTGCGCTGCCTCGCCAGAGCAGCTTTGTCACGCTGGCCATGTGACCCGGAAGTGTCTGCGGACAGCGCTGGCTCC